ACAATTTTGTGTTTTTTCTCACCCTTTCTATCGTGAATAATAGTTTCAGCGACTCTAGGCCTTAGTAACTTGAAACAAAAGGAGCACATAGCTTACCCCTTCCAAAATTTGTACAAAAGGACTTAAAAGAACAGAAAGAGTTACTTGGAACAAATGTTACGAGACAAATTTGGACTTTCCACGGATTGAAAACGGATTAAGTGAGTATCCGTGGGTCAGTCTTTCTTCACAGTCCAAACATTGCATCGTCACCGAACAATTCAATACTTTCAGTTCTTTGTTCTAATTGATTTTGTGTCCTTGATTATTTCTAGATTATTCTACATCCAAGAAGGAATCATATGATGATGGAAGCAAACCAAAAGGTACAAGCTAGAGATAATTCAAAAACTACTAGTACGTGTAAGCCTAAATCTGCGCGAAATTGTTTAAGAAGCTCCATATTTAAAATCAACTTAGATAAGGTGCATCTTTTCATCGGAATTTCAGGAACAGCTAAAAGTGAAGGTTCCGTAAGTGACAAAGGAGTGGATTTTACAGCTTCTTCGTCAGTTACAGGTAAGTAGGACTGACTTGGATCATTAATAATACAACATATTCATAGTAAGAAAGTATCTCCTAAGGACTTCGTAGAATTAATTGTTACATGACCCAAACGATTAGGGGAACGGTAAACAGAATCTATTGACAATGAAAACATGAATAATCACAAAATTATGATAATGTTGATGACGATCATTCAAGCCCATTTTCTTTTTTATTCAGAGTCGGAGAAAACTCAAGTTTCATCGGTATCTGGAAAAAAAGAAGACTTAGAGATCGGCAGCTCCACAGGTACATAGATAAGCTGTAAATAGTAAAGAGGTATATTTTAATCATTAATCTGGTTTATTATTTAAACTCTGGTTTGAAATGAATTAACAGGCAGCTAGCTGTAATACAGAGATCTAATGCTTGAGAACTTTGCAGAGTAGGCAGGTGTCTGTCTTGAAATTTATTATCATCGTTGAAAGGAGATTTCCAAAGCACAACTCAATGAGTTTGATTTTTATTCATTTTAGATCCTTTGAAAGGGAAGGACTCAGCAAACCAAGAGAAGGTGGATTTAAACGAGGAGCTTTTATCAGGTTAGAGCAATAAAACAGCAAATAAATCGCTCTTCTCTAAGACCTTTGGAAATTAATCAAACATAGACATCTGAATCACTACGGCTCAAAGTTTTGTTTGCTTAAAGTGTAGTATTCTTCTTTACTATTTCAAGGTCAATTTGGATTGAAGAAGGAGTCAGATGTCGATGATGACAAATCAACAGGTACAAGTAATTAGTGCAAACTCAGAATGTGTGTAAGCTTAGGCGTCAATTAAACAATGGGAAACACACTGCAAAGCGAGTGAACTTTTCGAAGATTTAAAACGGAGTGAATAACTTTCTGTGCGTCAATATTTAGGATAGAAATAAACATAAGAAGAAATTAATTTGACAGCCTAAATCTGCACAATAACCATGAGTGTTAATTCTTTCACTTCCCTAACTGATTACGGTATTAGGTACTTTTCCCCTTGACGTAGGTCTGCATAATAGCCATAGGTTTTAATTTTTTTACTTTCCAAACTGATTTCGGTATTAGATATTTTCACTTCAAGAGGAAAGACCGTGAATATATTAGGTGATGAAGAAAACAAAAGTCACGAGTTTCTCATGAGTAAGAGTGTTATTATTATTTATATGTATAGGTATTTTAGTTGGTCACCAGGCCTCCCCTGTAGCAGCTGAAGGAAGCCTGGACTTTGCTGACAACAGTTCACCAGGTGAGAAAAAAATATAAAGCTTC